CGATGCCCTGTTGATACCCAAATTTAACGAACGTTACGAACACTCCAGTTGAAAGACTCCTGTGCTTGAGGTATCTTCTTTTGCAAACGCCAGACGCCAAACCATGCCAATGACCTAACACAGAACGCCAACCCACACATTCAAATCTGCCCCTGACGCCTCCGCTCCTCCGCGGCCTCGGCCTCCTCAATCTCGTTCCACAGCTTCCACTCCTCCTCCGTAATATGGAACCACTGGGCAAGGCCCGTGATGAGAGCCCACAGCTCACCCGCAATCACCAGGTGCAAGAACTCCAGCCCGAGGAAGTTGGTCACGCCCCTCAGCGTCATGCCGCTAAAGATATTGGTGTCGTGGATGTCGAACGTGGGTAGGCCCATCCTCTCGCGGTAGGACCTCGCCACCAAGCGAAGAGCGACGGCTTCGTATGGCGAGACCAGGACGTAGCCCGAGATCACGGTGAAGATGTCTGACGCCAGACACGCCGGCAGCCTGGTCAGCATGGTGTCCATGTACTGGATCGCGGCGCCGTATCCGGAACCTTCGGGACCCGTGCTTGGCCGCAACTCGGCGGACCAGAGCCCGGGAGGCGCATCGGTCGAGTCCGTCGCTTCCACGTCGAAACTGATGAGCGTCGCACTGATGCCTCCGTCCTCTTCGTCGTCGCTGCCGTAGTCTTCTCCCCTGGCTGAGAAGGCGCTTGGTCGGCGCACTGCCTGGACGGGTGGTGTGTCGCTAGGTTCCGCTTCCGGGGGAATGTCCTCGAGGATATCTTCACTCCTCAGCTCAGAGAGAGGTTCGGGCTGTGGACGATCCACGTCGGGCACTGGCTCCGGGGTCTCCGGGATTGTCACCGGCGGTAGTGGAGGCGGCGGCGGTGGAGGCTTGCGGTGGTGCACGGTATTCGGCAGTCGTCCGTAGAACTCTTGCCACAGGTGGCCAGTCACTTCCGTCCAGATCTGGCCCCATATGACATACGAAACAAAGGGGATCGAGTTCACACACCACGCGCCGGCATACTGCACCAGCGACGATGGGCTAAAGTCCTGTGGCGGCGCCGGCGCTGCGATGGGCGACGAGGGCGAGCCCGGGATGAAGAAGCTCAGCGAGGGGAACCATCTCGCAGACGGGATGATGTCAAGCCTCTGGAGGAAGACATACAGCTGAAGGTGCACCCGGATGTACGACAGCGCCGTGTTGACAAACTTGTTCTTTCGCGGGTACGGGTAGAACCAGTAGGTGGCCATCTTGAAGACGTGGCCGCCGAGGAACGTCGGCAGACCCGTGATGAGGGCGGACGATATTGACCGCTGGCTCCGCTCGTGCTGGAAGAGCTCAAAGAAGGAAATGTCGGCGTACCGTCTGTACAGGAGAATGCGCAGTCGCATGCCGTTGATACCCCAGACGCCGGCAATCTCCAGCGCACGCCCGAACCGCAGCAGCCGTGTGCCCACCGCATCCTCGTAGTTGAAGTATCGTCGCACGGAATCGACTTCGGCGGTGGAGGGCGTGTTGTCCGGCTCGGCGACGCCAATGACCTGCATCACCTCGTTGTGGGAGCGCACCATGTCGCGGTTCATCCGTTTTGTCTCGGGGTTGACCGGTCGTCCGCGGTTGTCGTATTGCTGAGTCGGTGCATGCGGGTCGTCTTCGCCTTCGCCATCGACCACATCGTCAAATGGCGAGCGGCCCTGGGGGCGTTAGTGAGGCTTGGGGTGGGTTGGGGACAATCGTACCAAGGCCTGCGCGGTCAATGGACCGAGTCTCGTCATGTTGAGTGGTGGGTGAAAGGCCCATGGGCGGTGGAGAATGGGCCGAACGAGTGCTCAGGATCTTCTAGGTAGATTGGAATTAATTCACAGGTCGAAGATGCAAGTCTGCGATCGCAGGTGATCCTACCTAAGCTCTAGGCTTGAAGTGGTCTTGGAGACAGGAGCTCCTGCACGAAAGCGGGCCCGATAAGATAGCGCTATCGATAAGCATCATCCCGCCAGACGAAAAAAAAAATCTGGGACAAACCGCTGCTTGCCGCATGTCGCGACCGATTGCACCGCTTCGATAGACCGACAAGATGGCGAGCAAACAGCCCCTCAAGACGACGTTCGAGCCCGAACGGGTCATACGGCCCATCTTCACCGGCGGCTCCGTCGCATTGGACAATGGTGCTAAGATTCTCGCAACACCCCTCGGCGAGGACGCCATCCTCACCAACCCCTCCAACGGGAAACATCTGGCAAAGATCGAAGGAGTATGCGCCCCGGGACGTCTGTAGAGATGCACGGCTAACCTTAGTGTCAGGATGGCGAAACGATCTCGACGCTGACCCGTATGTATACTTTGTACCCGACGGAACCCACCATCTAACAGCTACAGTGACCCCCTCCGGCTCGCACCTCATCATCTGCTCCCGATCGCTCGCGATGAAGATCTACGCCCTCAAGACCACCGAAGACGGAACGATAGAGGCGAAGCTGACGCGCTCACTGAAACCCCACGGAACCCCGGTCGTCGTCCTCGCCGTCGACCGAACGAGCACTCTCCTCGCGACCGGAGGCACCGACGGAGCGATCAAGGTCTGGGACATTGCCGGCGGATACGTCACGCACACCTTCCGCGGACCGAGCGTGCTTGTCTCGGCTCTGCACTTTTTTGAAGTAGCGGCGCGTTCGAATGAGGACGCAAGCAAGAAGGGGAAGAAGGCGACACAGACCGAGGAGGAGACTGCGACAACGACAACGAATTGGCGTCTGGTGTCCGGTAGCCAGGACGGAAAAGTACGGGTGTGGGATCTGCACAAGCGCGCTGCCGTTGCCAGCCTCGACTCGCACGTCTCCAACGTCCAAGGCCTCGACTACTCCCCCGAACAGCAGGCCATCGTCTCGGCCAGCAGAGACAAGACAATCATCTGGTGGGACGCGCGGTCGTGGAAGATTAGAAAGGCTGTGCCGTGCCTGGAACTCGTCGAGGCCGTTGGTTTCGTTGATGGTGGCCGCCTGACGTATTCCGCCGGCGCCAAGGGCTGCCTCCGGATCTGGGACACCGACACGGGCCGGGAGCTCACGAAGGACCAGCCGGAGAAGGCCGAGGCGGAGGGCGTCGTCAGCGCCGTCTCGCATCCCGAGCTCCCATTCATCCTCTGCGTCCAGGTCGACCACACCCTGGCGCTATACAAGGTGCCGGAGAAGGATGCCGTTGAGGGATCGGTCATGGAGCCGTTTAGACGCATCTCCGGAACTCACGACTCCATCATCGATCTCAACTACCTCTTGCCCGACCGCTCCCTGCTTGCGCTGGCCACCAACGCCGAGGACATTCGCATCGTTTCGGTCAAGGACTCCTCAGAAGACGCGACGTACTTTGGCCAGGATATCGCGCTGCTCAAGGGCCACGACGACATCATTGTCTCTTTGGACGTCGACTGGTCAGGATACTGGATCGCCACCGGCGCAAAAGACAACACCGCTCGTCTCTGGCGCGTCGATCCCGCCAACAACTCATACACATGCTACGCGATCTTCACCGGCCACACGGAATCGGTCGGCGCCGTGGCACTCCCGAAGCAACCTCCCCAAGAATCATCAGCACAGTTCAAGGACCCTCTGAGCCACCCCCCGCCATACCTCTTCACCGGCTCCCAGGACCAGACCGTCAAGAAGTGGGAGATTCCCCGTGAACCCCAACAAACCCGCAAGGGCGGATCGCGCGCTGTCTTCACCCGCAAAGCCCACGACAAGGATATCAACGCAATGGATGTTCACCCGGCCAGCCAGCTCTTCGCCTCCTCCTCGCAGGACAAGATGGTAAAGATCTGGTCGGTGGCCGAGGGCGAGGTCCAGGGCATCCTCCGCGGCCACAGGCGCGGCGTGTGGTCCGTCAAGTTCGCCCCTGCCGGATGCCCCGCGATCCAGGGCGATGAGGGCCAGGTCGCCGGCAAGGGCGTCGTCCTCACCGGCAGCGCCGACAAGACGGTCAAGCTCTGGAGCCTCAACGACTACTCGTGCATCCGGACGTTCGAGGGCCACTCCAACAGCGTCCTCAAGGTCGCCTGGCTCAACATGCCCAAGCCCGAAGGCAAGGGCAAGAAGCAGGTCCAGTTCGCCAGCGCCGGCAGCGACGGTCTCGTCAAAGTCTGGGACGCCAACTCGGGCGAGGCCGAGACGACGCTCGACAACCACGAGGACCGCATCTGGGCCCTCGCCGTCCACCCGGTCGACAACACCGTCGTCTCGGGCGACGGCGACGCCCTCGTCACTTTCTGGAAGGACACCACCGCCGAATCCCAGGCCGCCGCCACCGAAGCCGCCCAGAAGCTCATCGAGCAGGAGCAGGAGCTCCAAAACCACATCCACCACGGTTCCTACCGTGAAGCCATCGTCCTCGCCCTCCAGCTCAATCACCCCGGCCGCCTCCTCAGCCTCTTCACGTCAGTCGTAACCTCCACCCCCGAACCCGGCAGCCTCTGCGGCCTCAAAGCCGTCGACCAGGTCCTCGCCACGCTCTCGGACGAGCAGCTCTTCACGCTGCTCCTCCGCCTGCGCGACTGGAACACCAACGCGCGGACGGCCGCCGTCGCGCAGCGCATTCTCTGGACGCTCGTACGCAGCTACCCAGCGTCCAAGTTCTCCAACCTCTCGGTCAAGGGCGCGCGGGGCCAGCGCAGCCTCAAGGAGGTGCTCAACGCGCTTCGCGTGTACACTGAGCGGCACTACAGGCGGACGGACGAGCTCGTGGACGAGAGTTACCTGGTGGAATATACCCTGCGGGAGATGGACAGTCTCGCGCCCCCCGCGATAGAAGATGATGTGGCCATGGAGGATGCCGCGGCGGATGTCATCATGGTATGATGTGGGGTGTAGATGTAGGAGTTTAAAATAGATTGGTTTTCTTGGTTTTAGGCTGTTGACCTGGTGCGATGTGAGAGTGCTTTTGATGTCAGCGTTTGACCGCGGACTTGGGCAGCGCGGGTGTTGCAATCGATAGTCGCTATGGCCCTGATTGAATGTCTATAGGCGTGCTCCTTCGCCATTGTCCGACTCGTCGTCGGAGCCTACATATGCATCTCCCCCATCTCCGCTGGAATCTTCGCTATCGCTCCCCAACTCATCCTCGCTGTTGTCCTCCGCCTCCATCTCTTTCTCCCACCTTGACCATGCTCTGAAGGAGTTGATTGTTTGTTTGTGATCTCGACCAAGAACACATTCTCGACTCTTGGCGCACTTACGCATGAGCTGAATCGCTTCCTCTTTTCGACCTTGGTCCCACCACGTCCAAGCCAAGTTATTCTCTTGCCTTAGAGTGCTGGGGTGTTCATCCCCTGAAACCTTTCTCAGCACTTTCAACGCTCGCTGTTGTAGCTCCTCCGCTTCCACTAGTCTGTTCTGATCAGCATAGAAGCCACCCAACTCTCCCATAATCCATGCTGTGTTTTCATGCTCTTCGCCTTTCTTGGGTTTCCATATCTCAAACGCTTTCAACAATAATTCTTCTGCCTCTTTCTGACGACCTTGCTTCTTGTAGGCTCGTCCTAGGTTTGCAATAGCCCATATCGTATCATCGTGCTCCTCGTCTTCTGTACATCTCTGTATGTCTAGCGCCTTCAGAAGCAACTCCTCTGCTTCTACTAGACGACCTTGTTTCGTGTGGACTTGTCCTAAATACGCCATAAGTCTTACCGTACTATAATGGTCCTCACCCATCAGCGTCCTGCTTCGAGGGAGCGCCTGTGAGAACATTTGCTCTGCCTCTCGTAGACGTCCTTGCGTTGTATACGTAACCCCTAGCATTGTCATGGTCGAAACTGTGACCTCAGAATCCTCTCCTTTTGTTTTCCTACTTCCCTCCAATAGCCGCAGTTGCAACTGTTCTGCCTCCTCATAACGTCTCTGCTGATAGTATACAGCTGATAGATCGCCCAAGATCTCTAAAGCTTCCTCCTCATCACCACCGCCTACTTCACACATCTCGAGAGTCTCCAAATGCAGCTTCTCTGCCTCTTCGCTGCGCTTCTGTCTCAGATACGCATGTGCAAGTTGACGGCGCGTGTATAATGCTTGTCTATGGCTTTCTCCCAGTAACCTCTTTTGGGCTTCCAACATGGGCAGAAGCAACTCGACTGCTTCCTCTGGATGATCTTGACTGATGTTCGCCCACGCCAAAGCGCTCATCGTCTCGAGAGTTTCAGGGTGATCCTGCCCAAATACCGCTTTTTGAAGTTCCAGAGCTCGTGTCAGATACTTCTCTGCATCCGAATATTGCCCTTGGTAGTCAAAATATCCGGCTACATTGTACAGTAGTTCTCCAGTTTGGATTCTCGCCTTGGCGGACTGGGGGTTTGACCGTGACAGGAGTGTCAGGGCATGAGGTAGATATGCAAGACACACCAGTCGATTCTCGAAATTACCAAAGGGGAAAGCTCGAGCCATCATCTTGAGAGCCTCGCTTGAAAAGCTCTGCACCTTCGACACTTGCAACAGACGTTTCCGTGTGACTAAATGCACGAGTCTATGCATGTCGTAAGTGTCATTGCTCGCTTGAGAGATGAAAGAAAATGCTTGGAGAATTCCCAAGGCGTTTGTGACTTCCAACGTCGTCTCAGAGTCGGCCTCAGAGCCGGAATCAGAGCCGGAATCAGAGCCGGCATCGGAACCGGCACCGGCGGTTGCTGAATCAGACCAATGGTCTGAGCCAATGCCGGAGTCCCCCTCAAAAGGGCTATCCACGTCGACGACAGAGTCTGACTTGTTCCGCAGCTGCTCATAGCAGTAGTCTGTGAGAAAGTCTTTGGGAATCGCTTGACGATCAAACATGCTCATGAAGGATAGCAAGTTGCCCGCCAAGGGATACCGCTGCTCGATTTGACGAAAAGAAATCAGCCAGGTGGCCGTCAGCGCATGAGGAGTCTTCGAGTCCCGTCCTATGGACGCGAAGGGCTCACTTAGCTGACGCACCAGACTAGAGTCGCTCTTGTCCAGTATTTGAACATAGTCGTTGATGGACAAGAAGTTTTTGAGAATGAAGGAAGCTGCTTGTGCCAATGCCAATGGCAAGTGCTCAAGCCGAGACGCTAACGTGATTGCCTCCGAGGAAGAAAATTTATGGTTCGGGAGCAAGGACTGTAGCAGCTGAACAGCCTCAGGATCGATCATCTCATCGACCTTGATTGGGGGAGTCCCAGCTGTCATCCTGAGGCCTGTCTGCATATCCCTCGTCGTTATGAGAATGGATCCGTGGAGACACTCAGGGATGAAGTGGCCCAGTCCACCTTCAGATGCAAGTTCCGGCACATCTATGCCAACGCCGTCTTCTCCAGAGTCCGTAAAGAAAGTCTCCTTGTCGTCGGCATTGTCAATAATCAGTAGCCAAGAACCGCTCTTTTCGCTCTCAAGCCACTGTTTCACAAGAAGAAGTGTATCGGCCTTCTTTCCGTCGTAGCCCGGGATGCCACATACTTGAGCGATTGATGTGAAAGCCTGGCGAAAGCGCTGGCGGTTGCTGGCGTGGACCCAGAAGACGGAAACTTCGGGAGAAATCTCATGTAGCCAATAAGCATAGGCCAACGCGATTTGCGTCTTGCTTCTTGGTGTTAGCCTTACTTCAGAATGATGCAAAGTTCGTCTTACCCAACACCGCCGAGCCCATGGAGTGCCACTCTTGAGCGTAGTTTCGCAGTGACCAAACTAGTCTGCGTGTCCCCGAATAGCTGCGCGATACGGTTGAGGATCTCTTCTCGGCCAACGAATTCGGGGTTTTTGACGTATGGTACCAGAACTGTACTCTCTCAGTATGGTTCCGGTGGAGCAGGTATGAGACACGCTTACACTTTGGCGAGAACCCAGTCGTCTCGACTTGCTTAACCTGTTCAATCAGGCCGGCTGCCGGCGCATAACGATCGAGAAGTGCCTTCGCTGCCGCCGCAGCTATTGCCGCAGCATAGTGCTGCCAAGTCTTGTTCTTGTGACTGTCGGCATAGTCGCATACGCCCTTGACGATGATGCAGGGGATTTCGTCCCAAACTCCAGCCCCTTCCATCTCAAAGGCGACTAGGCTGTGCTCCCTCGCAATCTGGTCTCGGTTCTTGCCAGACTTCATGACGGTATCTCCTGATCCAATCGAACCAATAAACACACGAGGCTGGTGCTCCGCAAAAGGGGTTTCTTGCCCGACTCGTTGATTCTTGAGGCGTCTTCGAGACACTCGGTATCCAAAATCACAGCCGAGCTCATCGCATGTCGCTTTCGTTGCCTGCTCACAGGTCTGTGTTTCGCTGCAGCTGCACTGTACGTCTTTCCGATGCCTGTGGGTGTATTCTGGCTCGAAGAGCACGTCTTCATGTGGTGGTCTACGATAGTCGACATCGTAGCTCTCTTCGACTGCCTTGGTTTGGATTTCCGCTAGACCTTTGGATATTTCCTTCTGCAGCCGCTGCTTCTGCCTTTGGGTTTCGAATGCAATGAGCAGAGACCGAATTTCTTTGACCGGCCTACCTAGAGTGTCGTGAATGGTGTCCTTTGGCTCAAACTGGCCTGGAAATAGCCGCCCCAGGTCGTACTGAACGACACTTTTGCTGATGATTACGTCTCCGAGCAGTATCTCCCCATCGCCATTGGCATCAGGCACGCCACCGCATATGCCACATAGGAGAGCTAACCTGAGACCCCCGAAACTCGAACGAAGGCTGGCAGTCGCGCTAGCTGCACTCACTTTTCCCATGCCGGAAAGTAGGACGAGGACGGCATTGTGCTTGCCGATTCGACCCAGCGTGTAGGTGTTTGCGTCACCTGCAGCCTTACCTAAATCATGCTCAAGACCGTCCCACAGCTCGTCAAGGGCCAAATCTACGGCATTGAACTCTAATGGAAGAGCACAAATCACTGCGACAGTGAAGTCTTCACGACGGCGTGGCGGGAGAGTGGCCATGGCGCATTTCTATCGCCGACGACGGAACAACGAACGAACGTTGACTGGATGGAGTATCGCTCATGCGAAGCAATCCCCAGATAGACACCAGCGAGTCTTGACAGGCTGCGGAAAACGGGGACGGAGCCCCTCATTTCTAGATCAGGCTGCGGCTGACATCTGGCCAGGCGCTTCCAAGGATGATGCCATTGGGTGATAACGCAGCGACACTGATAGGCTCATCATGCATGCGCTGCATGCGCTAACATTCTAAAGAGACTCTGATGGCGACTCGGCAGCCCGGTGTGCTCGGGATTGGTGTATTTCATCGCACGTAAGTTTACGTCGTCTGTGGCCGTGTAGTCACAAATGATTCCTGGATGAGGTTGTAGAAGCTCTGGGCGTGGCTTCCAACAGTGGGGGCGTGCACCTAGAGCGATAGACTGGCGACTTTTTCCAGGCCTGCAACCAGGAACCACCAATCCATACCTGCGACTTCAGCCTCGCACTCAAGAAAACCACCAACACCACTCGATACCCCTTTAGACACCACACACACACAGCATGGCGCACAGGAAACGTCACGCCGAGGATCCCCTCGACGAAATCGCAGGGATCGACTCACCCGCGTCGAAACGCTCACGAACCGTCGACTCCCTCATCTCCAACGGCTCGCTCGAAAACGGGCACGACACAGCGACGACGGACGACGCAACACCCACAAACGGCACGGCCGAGATACCGTCACAAGACGACGATGCCGAAAGCGACAGCGAAATAGAGGAAGACGCGCCGGTGCAAGTCCCAATCCGCCAATCGGCGCCGACGGACGGCTACGACGACCTCTACCTCGACACGATAGACCGCAACGTGCTCGACTTTGATTTCGAAAAGCTCTGTTCCGTCAGCTTGTCCAACATCAACGTCTACGCATGCCTCGTCTGCGGCCGCTACTACCAGGGCCGCGGCCCCAAATCGCACGCCTACTTCCACGCCCTCGACGAGAATCACCACGTCTTCATCAACATGCAGACGCAAAAGGTCTACGTCCTCCCGGAAGGGTACGAGGTCAAGTCAAAGTCCCTTGACGACATTAAGTTCGTCTCGGACCCGCGCTACACGAAACCCGAAGTCACCGCCCTCGACCGCACGCCGCTGCGCGCGTCCTTCACGCTCGCGGGGAGAGAATACGCCCCCGGCTTCGTGGGCATGAACAACCTGAAGGAGAACGACTACCTCAACGTCGTGGTTCAGGCTCTGGCGCACGTTGCTCCCCTGCGCAACTTCTGCCTCCTCGAGGACCTCTCCTCCCGCTCCGAGCTTGCCAAGCGCTTCGGCATCCTCGTCCGCAAGATCTGGAACCCGCGCGCCTTCAAGGCTCACGTCTCCCCCCACGAGCTACTCCAGGAGATTTCCCTGCTGTCGAATAAGCGCTTCACCCTGACAGCGCAATCCGACCCCGTCGAGTTTCTGTCGTGGTTTCTGAATAATCTGCACCTGGGCCTCGGCGGGTCCAAGACGAAACCCGGCAGCTCCGTCGTACAGCGCATCTTCCAGGGGAAGCTCAAAGTCGAGTCGCAGGCCATCACGGCGCGCGCCGACGCGGGCGACCGCCTGCGCTTCGAAGACGCCGCCGTATCAGTCACATCATCCCGCTTCATGTTCCTCACCCTCGACCTCCCCGCGGCCCCCCTCTTCCAAGACGAGCTCGAAAAGAATATCATCCCGCAAGTGCCCCTCACGACCATCCTCTCCAAATACGACGGCATCCACGCGCAAGAGCACCTCGCCCAGCGCAAGCGGTATCGCCTGCTGCATCCCCTACCCCCCTACCTCGTCCTCCACGTCAAGCGCTTCAGTCAGAACAAGTTCGTCTCGGAGCGCAACCCGACGATCGTCACATTCGACCCGCGCGGCCTCGACATGAGCCCCTACGTCGAGCCGAACCCGGGCGAGTGGCCCCCCGGGGAACCCATCTGGTACGACCTCGTCGCCAACGTCGTCCACGAGGCCGTGCGCGCCAAGGAGGATGTCGCGGACAGCGGGGAGGAGCGCAAGACGTGGAAGGTGCAGCTCAAGGACAAGGGGCGCGACGAGTGGGTATCGTGCCAGGATCTGTTTGTGGAAAAGGTGCAGAGCGAGCTGTTGTACCTGGGCGAGACGTATCTGCAGGTGTGGGAGAGGCGGAGGACGCCGAGGAAAGCGTAGATTGTACGATTAATGCCATACGGGATGCGGTAGTCCCATGTCACGCATGCATTCAGTTCACGTTTCGTGTCAGTGATGGTCCAGAGTGAGCTCATTTCGTAGTCATTTGGGACTATCCATACGGCCCATGCCTTTCAGACCGCGCATCCAGCAGCTCAACAAAAGCATACCGAAGCATGCGACACTCGCATCGCAGGTTAGTGTTACACCTCCCGAGAAAGATGATGAGATTTGGGGATCTTATCCATGACCTGCCGCCTGGTTCGCAAACCCATAAAACAAACGTGACCGCTAAACGTTTGACCGCTGACCCCCCCGTTTTCCATTTCCCTCCCAAAAAATCGATTCCCGTTTCCGAGGTCGAAAATTCCAAAAAAGAGGGGTTTCCCCCCCTTCATCAAAGGGGAGCACACAACCGTCTCCAATGTGTCCAAACCTGCTTCCTCATATTTTCCCCACATAGGTGTATTTTTTGTCGGGAGTTTTTCACAAAAACCCGAATGCTATGAAGATCCGTCGTAAGGGGGATAGTGGATCCAATAGTGTACAAATAAACATCAAAGATGGCTTTGAAGAGAGAAACAAAACAAAGATGCAACAAGGTTGGTGGCGTGGCGCTTTCCCGGCGAGGAGGGTCGTTGCTTTCGGGGGTAATGTGAACGCTCCACTCACGAAGCGGCGGGCTTCTGCTCTTCGGTGGTCTGTTTGTTGCCGCGCTTGTCGTGCTGCTTCTCGCGGCGGGACTCCTCGATGGCGGCTCGGTGCTGGATGCTCTCGTCGTGGGACTTGAACTCGAACTGCGTGTTGGGCGGACACTTGAGGTACGACTTCCACGTTTCACTGCAGGTGTTAGCTATGCCTCAAAAATTTGGGACCTAAGATGCTCACCGAATCCTCAGCACGCGTCCGCCGGTCGAGCGGGTCCAGATACTGATGATATCCTCGCCGTTGCGGACGCTCACCACACCGCCACAGACCTCCTCGCTGGCGTCGATAAAGGCCTCGCCGAGGAGCGCAAACACGGTATCCTCCCAGTACCGGTCGACGATGCCCTTCTTGAGACGGAGCACCCACTTGCCGCCGCTTCTGTTCTCGTCGTCCTCCCAGATTGGACGGATGCCCCGCTTGAAGAAGTGGTATTCCCAGCCCACGGACAGCTCAGAGGGCCGCTTGAGGTGGGGGTAGCCGACCCAGAACTCCTCCACCGAGTTGCAGTGGATCATTGGCGTCAGCGATTTGGCGTACTCCTGGTACGGCTGGCCCTTTGGCTGGGGCGGCCGACACCACGTCACCCACTCGTACTTGAGGGGGTGGACGCGCAGCTGCTCCGAGGACGTCCGGGTCGAGGCGGGCTGGGAGCCCAGGGCCTTCTTCTCGGGGATCGGAGCGATGGAGGGGACCTTGGCCGCGGGGTCGTGCTGCGATGCCGCCTTGGCGCCGCCGCCAATCTTGCCCATGGCGAGGTCGAACGGGTTGCCAGGGGACTTGGGCGTCTTGGCGGAGCCGAAGGAGGCGAAGGCGCCGGAGCCCAGGCCAAAGGCGTTGGCCGCGCCGGCGGTGGTGGGCGACGCCATGCCGCCCGCGCCGGGGGTCGTTACGTTGTTGAAGGGATTTGATTTGCCGCCGTGTGAGGACGTATCGCCGCCGAATCGTTTGGCAAAGGAGCCGTTTCGGTTGGCGTCACCGCCCGGCGCGGGACTACCATTTGTCGAGAGTGAAAGCTTGCCAGAGCTGTGCGTTCGTTAGTGTCATGACGTGCAGGGGGGCAGAGGGACGAAAGGCTCACTTTGTGCGGCGGGTCCATAGGTTGTTATCCATTAGGACTGCTTTCGACGGCTTCCGGGGGCGGGGTGAATTTGGCTTGGTCTCGTCAATCCCTCAAAACGTCAAGGGCGGCGGCACCTTGGTTTGTGGTGAATGGTCGCAGTTGTGGCGGCTGGGACAGGGCAAGATGGCGTTGGGATGCGATGAGGTCGGGGATGGCGGCGGCGGCGGGCGTTGCGGGCAGAGGCGGTCGACGAGGGCCTGCTGCAGGGGCGGGTTTGGAGACGGAGAGGCACAGAGAGGAGAGGAGTCGATGGCCGTTGGAGAGATGGAGAGATGGCGGCGTGCGAGAGCTTCGGCGGGGGTGACGTTGACCGGGGGGGTAGGGGAGGTTCTTTTCGTTTGGAGAGAGTGGCAAGGTAGCGTCGGTGTGGTATCTCGAGGGAGGTTTGTTTGTGTGTGGGTATTACAGACGTTGGTTGGGATTTTTTTTCTGCAGTGTTTGAGCGATGTTGTGAGGCGGGAGTGGGAAAGGCGAATGGATTATCGACTGATGGGGAACAATGAACAGCTTGAAGAGAAAAAAAATAATACGGAGTATGGACACTGATGCCCCATCCTCCTCGACCTTAGTCGTCACCTTGTTATCGATGGCGGATAGAGCGATAGCGCCTCGCTTAGCCCAAGTTAGCCTTACCCCTGATGGGTCCACTGGGAGGTCGTGGCCAATGGGGAGACCCAAAAGGACGCTGGAACGGCGCACCACAGTGAGGTGCAGTGAGGTCACAGCGAGGTGTCCTTGAGGCCTCGGGGCTGGAGACGCCCGTCGTCCGTACGCAGCATTGGGCGCGCATAGCTTTGGTAGGGCAGCGCCAGCACCCAACCTCTTATTTCACCACTTGCATTTCTCGGATTGGGCGGACATGCCTTTACTCGCATACTCCCGTCTACGATACCCAGCATCACTGACGGCACTTGGGATGGACGTCAAAAGCACAACGGTCGGATGGGGAAGTGCAGAACGTGCATGGCCTGAAACAATTGCCGGCTGACCCAGCCCAGGTGCCTAGCATTGGCCACAATGGAGTCATAGATGAAGTTGCAGTGACGGTCAGCGAGGAGCTCTGGCTTTGGCGGTTGACGTGCTATTTTCAGCGTCGTGCCGTCTAAGCGCCAGAGCCTCACAGCAACGACCTGACATGATGCAAGACAGCCTATAGACGAGACACCACAGATGCCCATCTGCAGACAACACCAAAGACAAGATGCCATAACATACGTAGTAGCCATCAATGGATCATCAAGACGCTGTCAGCAACTCAACATCAACGGCAACCACGTGGTGTGCCTGGGAGAGACGCAACGACGCCCTCTGGTTGGCCTACCCCGCCATTTACTCGGCCCACACCCCTGACGGCGCCCGGTGCACAGTGCATCCACGTCCCTCCAATTCCTGCCCGTCATCCAAAGAAAAGAAAGTGCAGATTCCCGTCGCGCCTGAGCCCTCGACGCGCTTACCTCACCCGTTGATCGGCATCCAACGTCAACCTCCTCCACCGCCTCTCCCCTTTGCATTTCGGCCATGCCTACCATCTAGCACTTCTCGTTGCGCCATGGAAAAGTTCCTGCGGGAATGGAGGCAGGATGCCCTGAACAAGGCCCAGTACGATTCCGCCATCTTCATCGGCGACAAGCTGCTAGCCCTGACCAGTACGTGACATGGCACTCATTAGCCCGCTCTGCCTGTCTAACGTGGACAGACGACGATAAGGACGCCTTCTGGCTGGCTCAAGTCCACTTTGCTACCGGCAACTACACACGAGCCCAAACCTTTCTCGCAAAACAGGACCTCGTCGCTCGCAACGTTTCCTGTCGGTACCTAGCGGCACACTGCCTCGTCAAGCAGTCGAGATTCGACGAGGCCCTGGCCATCCTCGGCGAGCGGAACCCGACGCACCTCATCAACAATGCGAGCAACAAGCGGAAGCAACAGAACACGGCGCCACTAGGTCGCGCAGTCGGCCATCCCAAGGGTGGCTCAAGAGACAGACATGCCCGCGACGAGGCGGCAGAAGAAGAAGCGACGAACCGGAAATACGAAGCCGCCATGTGCTACCTGCGAGGCATCTGCTACGCCAAGCAGAACGCCTTTGACCGGGCCAAGGAGTGCTACAAGGATGCCGTGCGGATCGACGTGCAGTGCTTCGAGGCCTTCCAGCAGCTCATGACCAACGCTCTGCTGTCTCCCGACGAGGAGTGGGCATTCCTCGAGTCCCTTGACTTTGACGCCATTAGCATTTCCGGGGATGTATCGTCGTCGCAAGAGGCTGCAGAGTTCACAAAGATGTTGTACACAACGCGGCTGTCAAAGTATAGGGAACCTTCGGCATTCACCGCGGCGTGCGACTCTCTGTCGACGCACTACCGTCTGGCGGACAACCCGGATCTCCTCCTCGCCAAGGCCGACCTCCTCTACACGCAGTGCCGGTATAGAGACGCCCTCGCTATCACCGAGTCCATTCTGCAGGACGACAAGTACAACTTTAGCGTCCACCCTCTGCATCTGGCATGTTTGTATCAGCTCAAGATGAAGAATGCGCTCTTCTTGGTGTCTCACGACCTGGCGGACAACCACCCCGAGGAGCCCTGCTCGTGGTTGGCCGTGGGCATATACTACTTTGCGATTGACAAGATTGCGGAAGCCCGTCGGTATTTCAGCAAGGCCAGCATGATGGATGCGCACTTTGGCCCGGCGTGGATCGGCTTCGCCCACACCTTCGCCGCCGAGGGCGAGCACGACCAGGCCATCTCTGCGTACTCCACAGCAGCGAGGCTGTTCATGGGGACGCATCTGCCGCAGGTCTTCTTGGGCATGCAGAACCACGCACTCAACAACATGACACTGGCCGAGGAGTTCCTCAAGACGGCCTACGGTCTGTGCAAGACGGACCCTCTTCTACTGAATGAGATGGGCGTCGTCAAATATCACCAGGACAAGCCGCAAGAGGCTGTCCAATTTTTCCGGGCGGCACTCAAGATCGCCGCCGACATTGACTCTGACCCGCAAGCGTGGCTGGCGCCGAGGACGAACCTGGCACACGCGTACCGTCGCCTGCGGCTCTGGAAGGACGCACACATGGAGTTCGACGAGGTCCTGCGACAGGGCGGCAAAGACGCGACGATATTCTGCGCGAAAGCGCTCATTTATCTCGAAGAGGGACGCCCAGAAAAGGCCGTCGTGCCATTGCATGAGGCGCTCGCGATTAATCCACAAGACAGCATAGCTACTGAACTATTAAACAAGGCCCTGGAAGAGACGTCCACGATTGACGTTGCCGAGGGCGACGAGCTGGAGGCGTTTGAGCAGGAGCTCGAGATGGGCAAGGCGGCCGCCAGGGAGCGCATATCCAACAAGCTCCCGAAGCTGCGGCGGGATGCCAAAGGCAAGGCCAAGGTCGGCCGGCCGAGGGTGCTCATGGACGAGGACGAAAAAGGCGAAAGCATGATGGAGATGACTGATGATGATTAGCCCGGCGCGGCAGTACTGTTATCTGGCGTGGGGTCCACCAGTATAGATATCGGTTAATGACAACAAACCTATGAATACCAAACCGTAAATCTCGATCAGTCTCTGCTTTTGGTGGTGAGTTCAGCTAAGCAATGTGGCTTTGGGAGTCATGCCACTGTGGGTTTAGTCTGGCGCCGTGACGAATGCGATTGTTCCTATTCGTCGGGGATGCCTCGCATTCGCTCGCTAGCGTGGGATTCCGCGGCGGGACGATACCCCGGCGCGCTGACAGAGTCGGGGGGATTGCTGTCGTTCGTTGCCGACCGGGTCCCGCTAGATCGGGACATGCAGCCGCATGTAGGCTGGTGGCTCGCGCAAGTTGTGATATAAGACGCCGGCTTGCTGTCTAGGAAGAAGGACGCAGCTATTGACCATCACTGATCAGTCTGCATCTCCTGACTGTGTTGCGCATCGGCAAAGCCCTCCCTAGGAATCTAAACTGTCCATCAGCCAGCTGTCAGCTCCCGCAAAACATCGTCTTCTCAAAGAAGCGAAAAAAGGGAAACCATGTCTCGCTACTTCCCCCACACGGCCTACGCAGAAGACCAGCCCCTCGCCGGCACGATCCTCACAGTCCACGTTCTCATGCGTGGCTACACAACCGGCACGGTAGTGGGTCTCGGCGTCGCGGCCGCGAGTGGAGCCGCTCGCCGACTCCGCGGCACAAAGCCCGTGCCAGCCACCGCCGTCGCCGGTACCCCGTTCTCCACATCGGCAACGACAGCACTCCGAAGCGCAGGCGGACTACGCACCCTCCTTCGTAAATCAGGCACCGCCAGCGCTGTCGGCCTAGGCCTCACCGGCGTCGCCACGGTGGCGAGGATGTACGGCCGCGAGGACATTGAGTGGCGCGATCGCGCATGGAGGCTGATGGAGAGCCGGAGCCAGCTGGAGGTGGACGACTGGACGTACGGTGGTGCGGCTGCGGGCGTTGCGGCGCTTGGTATCGCGAGGGCGGCTGGTATGAAGGGGAGTGCGCTCGGTGTGAGGGTCGTTGCTGGCGCTGCTGGGTTGGGGAGCCTTGCGGGCACGGTTGGGTATATGATTTGGAGGTACGGTGTGCATGGAGGGAAGTATCCCGATTATGTCGATCCCGAGGTTGCGTTGTCGAGGGTGTGAGTTTGTCGTAGTTTGAACCTTGGTTGCTGTGAGGCCTGTACATTAGATAGATCAATACCCCAAATGGATTTGCTTACCTGGACTACGCCGCAACGTCTTGGCAATGTGTGCTAGTGTTGTAAAGCGGCCGCCTGACTTTGTGACATGGCGGATAACTTCGATTGGTTCGCTGCTGACAAGCGTGTTTTTTGTGCTGGTGGACTCCGCCTTGGTATAGTCTGGAGGAAGCTGGTGCCTAGTTAGTGATGAGGGGCTCGGTGGCGATCCCCAGTGTGTGACAGACGACCCCTTAACTAGCAGCTCGTAAGCTCCTTGACAATTCTAACAAGTGTCAGCGAGTGTCTTCAACCAAGTGACTGAGCCTCACCGGCTAGAAATCTCGAGCCTGTGACATGATGGCTGAAAGGTCAGGATGGCTCAAACGCCGCTGGATATCAAGACTGACGAATCCAGCTCAACTCCCTCGCAGACTGTGTCAAGCACCGCGCAGTCTAACGACATTTCAGACTGCGAAATCTGCCACCAAATCTGGAGCCGTCTCACGACGTCTCCTGGCGGCAAATACCACGATACTGTCAACCTAGGCTCCTTTGAAGAAGCCCTCTCTTCGAAATGCAGCAGACATGTACCCATTGTCAAGATGTTCCACGAGCTTTGCAGTAAATCAAGGCAACTTAAAAGCCTCGACTCTGCCGATGTGGGCATCAGATTCCCTCGAACAGGTGCGCTCCAGCTCACAGAAAACATCAAGACCGGCGGCCGATACGCCGACCTCTTGCTTGTGAAAAGGGACTCTATTTCGAGCCACCCGGGTATCGCTCGCATCCTAGACCCAGAATGGATCGATGCCAGCGTCGTGACATCCTGGAAGCAGCAATGCGCGTCCTCCCACGGCCCCAAATGCGCCAACCCCGTCAAGATCTGGCCGATTCGCCCAGCCTGGGTGGTAGACACCGAGAAGCGATGCATCGTCCCGGGAGACGGTTGCGAATCGTACGCCACGCTAAGCTACCGCTGGGGCAAGACGCCCGGATTGCACATCCTCAGCGATACAATCTCGAAGCTCCAAACGCCTGGCGCCATTGACGACCCTGTTATCGCTTCCCAGCTCGCACCTATGGTACTTCACGCCGTGCACCTCACCTCCATCATTGGGGAGCGTTACCTCTGGGTCGACACCCTCTGCATCAACCATGCCCGGGCAGAAGAGAGCAATCAGCAGCTCCAGCTTATGGCCGCCATCTTCGCAAACGCCTCACTCACCATCGTCGCACTCGATGGTGATGCCGAGGACGGCTTTCCCGGTCTGCGGGGCGTATCATGCCCCAAACCCCAAAAGGACGAAGACGAAGATTGGAGCCCAATGCCCTTTGGCGACGAGCAGTTCATCCGCGATAAGAACAACATTTTCAGCCTTAGTCACTGGGGGGCCTATCATAAGCGCGCGTGGACATACCAAGAGTTCAAGATGTCCCCACGACGCCTCATCGTCAGTAATCATTCTCTGCACTGGATGTGCCAGTGCAGCGTATGGGAGGAGCAACTTCACCTTGGCGTTGAGGCTGGCAAGTACATTGATCCCCGCTTAGGCGAGATCATGCGCGGGATGCCAAATCTCGACTCCTTGGCCAACATCATTGCAGACTACAACCCGAGAGCTCTGACATACGACGAAGATGCCCTGCCCAGCATCAGCGGTCTCTTAAATGTCATCAGTCGGTGCTTCTCGGGCGGCTTCCTCTATGGCATCCCGGAGATGTACTTTGAAGCGGCACTCGGTTGGACGCCGTACTGGAGCCACACCGATCTCCGACGACGGACTGTCTCTGATCGCCCTACTGCGAGCCAACTCGGTCCATGCGGTCTTCCGTCTTGGTCGTGGGTGGGTTGGGAAGGTCTCGTCTCCGTCGGGCGCAATGAAGCCGGTCCAGCGAATCCTCTGGCTTACTCGATCAGAGAGACAATCCCCATAACCACGTGGTACGCCTGCGCCACGCCGACATCAGCGCAGAGAAGAAAAATCAGACCCTCCTGGTTCGAGAATCGCCAGGCGTACAAGGACTGTACTCGGCACTTGCCTCCAGGGTGGACTCAACAAGGGATTCCTAGTCCAAGACACGGCGAGCAAGGGGACGTACTGCTTCACCCCGATGGGTGCGACGAGTATACCTTTAGACACAGTAGTATGTCTGACCATGACGACGAGCACCCGTGGTACTGGCCTTTCCCCGTGCCGGACATTCAGAAATCGACGCAGCCGTTCATGCCGGAACAGACGCTGTACATTAGCTGCGATACCCGCCGCGCCCGCGTGTCTGCTTTTCAGACAGACGAACACAATGACGTCTCGCTCTATAGTGAGGAGAAAAAGATTGGGTGGTTGCGATTGCACAATAAAGGTCAACTCGAAATCTTCCCTCACCTGGATGTCGGATGGGCTGCTGCGAAGGAGGTCGAGTTGGTTGCCATCTCCCGCGTGCGAAACTACAAAAAGACCTTTGATGAGACGATCAAACGCTACGCGCACCCGTTCACGGCCTCAGAGGGGTATAGCGTGCTGTGGGTGGAGTGGGTTGACGGGGTCGCGTACCGCCTCGCGAGTGGTCATGTCGACAAGACTGCGTGGGAGGGGCTGCCTCTAAAGGATGTGTCTTTGATTCTGGGGTGAGCTGTACTCTATCTGGTATCCTATATCGCTCTAGATCCAATGTCTTCTGTACATGTCATCTTACAGCTTCTCCTTACCGGCGAGCAGCTCCTCAATCTTGGCGAACTGGTAATAAAAGTCCAGACTCTGAGGGTTGAGGAGCGTGCCACTTGGCTTAATGGTCCGACCCGAGACAATCTGCTTCACCGGGAGCTCGACCTTTTTGAGGTTGACCGTCGTCTGTTTTGTTAGCGTGGTTCGTAGATAGGGAACCGCTGGGCTTACTGGTATCTCCGGCGTCTGAAAGATGTACTTGGGCACATGTCTCTTTGTCAACTCTCTCTGAATCTTGTCCTTGACCTCGGCCACCAGCTGGCGGTCAAACTTCTCGCCCTCGCGCATCATCAGGAAGAGCATCACGCTCTCGTCGTTGTCAGTGGGACGCCTCTGCCCGACACATAGGCTGTCGACCACCTTGTTCGAAAAGTTCCGCTCAATCACTGCGTAGATCTCGGCACTGCCAAAGCGAACACCGCTAGGGTTCAGCACACCGTCAGCACGTCCGAGGAAGGAAATGTTGCCCGTCTTTGGGTGGATGGAGCAGAAGTCGCCGTGTGCCCAGACGTTATCGAAGCGAGCAAAGTATGCCGAGTGATACTTGGAGCCTGGGGCGGCAGAGGCAAAATTCGGCGAGCTTGGTGACAACTTTGGGGGTGCTGAATCGCCCCAGAGGAAGCACGGGATGTTGGGGAAGGCAGCGGTGGCAACGAGTTCACCAGGTGTTCCGTTTGGCACGGCCTCGCCAGGCCCGTCGGGCAACTGGGCTTCGTAGATGGCGATGGGGACGCCGAGGGATGGCCCTTGGGTGCCGCCCACGTATACGGGGTCCAAGGGGTTCTCCATGCCGAAGCAGCCGGCCTGTAAGTGTCAGTAAAGAAGTCTGGCATGTGTGGGTGACTTACAATGTCGGTGCCACCAGAAATGTTGGCAAGATGGACATGTTTCGGGAATCCTGCGTCGTAGAACCATTCGAACAGCTGGTCAGAGAGGACCATGCCTGTGCTGGTGACAATCTTCAGCGAGCTAAGATCCGTCACCTCCCGCGGGCTGATCTTATTCTTGGCGACCTCAAACATCCACCTCGGGCTGATACCCAGTTTTGTCACCCGCTGCTCGCCGAGGATGCGGATGAATGACTTGAGGTCGGGGACGAAAGGCGAGCCATCGTACATGACGACACGGGCTCCCGATAACAGAGCGGCCACGTTGGCGAGGTACATGATCCAGCCGGTTGTGGTGTACTGCAGAGTGACGGACTCGGGTGACATTGACTCGTGCAGGCGGCCTTCTTTGAAGCTGTTAAGCATGACGCCGCCGACGGTGTGCACGATAGCCTTGGGGATACCCGTGGTGCCAGACGAGTAGTAGATGAGGAACGGTGCGTGGAAGGGGATACGCGTGAATGACGGTGCTGCTGAGGTGGAGGAGCTAAGGAACTTGGACCACGTCTCGGTCTTGGGGATCGAGGACACATCGTAGGGCTTGGAGAAGCGTGGGATCGATACGAGACCAGAAAAGGAAGGGCACGAGCCCATGCCGGAGACGACCTCGGCCATCTTGTCTCGAAGGTCGGCTGTCTTGCCGTTGTACACCGTGGCGTCGTCAAAGAAGATGAACTGGCGTGTGTGAGTGCAGTTCTAGGAGGTGGGGAGTGACATACCTTGGGATCGACCTGCGTGGTCCTCTGCAGGATGCCCTTGACGCCCATATCCGTGGACGAACTGCTAAAGATGCCGCCCAACCATGTCGTCGCCACAAACACCAGCAGCGTCTCGATAGAGTTGGCACCGACGAGAACGACGCGGTCTCCCTCCTTGACGCCTCTTGCTTTCAGGGCTGCTGTCAGACGACCTGCATCACGACGGAGCTCGCCCCAGGTGAGGTTGCGTACATCACCGCGGTTACCTTCTCGAATCTCGGTGACGGCAACTTTGTCGTCTTCCTTACCCTCGGTGCCGTGGTGGTCGGCCGCATCAGACGAACCTCGCGTGAAGAGGAGGTTCTCGGCCCAATTCAGACGCACACCAGGGAACCACTTGGGGATGGCGTCTATCGTGAGCGATTCATCCACAACAGAGGTTGGACGCCCTTCGTGGATCAAATTGGCGTAGTCAAAGAGATGGCCATAGAACGTGGCGCGGTTGGCTACTGTCCAGTTGTGGAGGTCGTTAAAGGTCTGGAGTCGTGTAAGCGGACGGACTAACATTTGGGGGGGAATCGGGGCATACTGACCTTGAGCTGGAGGTTAAACTTGGAATTGACCGATTGTAGATATTGGTACATTTGTGTGCTCTTGGGATCCGGGTGCTCCCAGAGCTTGCGGGGGATCTCGTGGGCGTCCATGATGTTTGTTCCCTTTCTTGTTGAATTAAAGGTGTGATGTTGGGACAAGAGCTGTCATTCGGAGTTGGGTGGATGAGATGAGGGAAGGGACGACCAGGGAAGACGGGTCCGTGGGGAGGTTGGGGTATATCGGGGAGTTTGGCGCGCTTCCCCAACGCCCAGGGTGGACTTGCCTCGGGTTGTGGACTTACGGGGAATGCGGGGTTGGCGGCCCGAGCTAACATGCCGAGAGGGGCCGATCCGGCCCGCTTGGCGTGACCGCGACGGGATGCCGATCAACGACCTTGCATTCTACAAAAGGTTGAGTCAGCTACAGTAATCGCGGAGAGGAAGACCACGACACGAGCAGTGCTAATCCAGGGGATCTTCAGCGCAAATAATAGGCTCCAATACTTTCTTGGATGTTTCGCAGCAGACACTTGTCCGAGAGACCCCACTACCTACCTTGGGCGATTGAGCAACAAAGGCGTTAGCACGATGAAAAGGAATAGGGAGTAGCTTCTTCCAGTCAATAAAACAGTAGCTTGATGTACTGGGTATCAAGCTCAGTTGAGGTTTGACGATAGCCGCTTTGCATGTGCAGAGCATGCTTGACGCGATTCCATTCCACCTGGTGAAGGGGTAGCGCTCAAGGCGAACATCGGTAGGACAGTTACTTTCATGTGGCACCTTCTTTTTTTCAGATTTATATTATTCAGCAACTCGTCGATATTATACTCTTACAAGTTCTGCATGATCCTCCATGCCCATTCCTTTGCTTCTTGGGCATTATACTTGGTCTGTCCGTCGCCGTTGTACACAAGCCACCTTATTGGTACCGACATCTCAATATCTTCATGTGAGAGATTTGAGATAGTCTTTCCAAGCTCAGTCGTCCATCGGTGACAGTTGAAGTACGTGTCGACCATCGCTTGCCATCGTGCTGGTTTCAAGAATCTGGTGTCTACAAGGTTGTCGAATATGATGCGACTGAGCTTCAAAGCTGCTCATTCTCGGCTTGACGACGAGACGAGGCCATCGTTGCGTCATGTTCCTCCAGTGCCTCGGCCAGCTTTTCCTTTTCCGCAATTTCCTTGTATGCTTGAAAAGCCTCAACTCTGGCCTTCTCGTTGTGGCTTCGGACAAACTCACCCAGAGTTGCCACCTGACCATCCGCGACACTCTGGGACCAGGCCTTGAGAGCGTTCCAAGACTCTGGGTAGGAAATGATGTCGCCGTAGTCGTCTTTCATGTCGTTCTTCACAATGACCAGGAAGGCTGCCTCGTCGTGGTCAATCCAGCAAAGACGAAGTCTCGCATCGAGCATCTTGTTGGCCTTGGCCATCTGTCCTGCGTTGCGGTAGATGTATTTGGCCGCGTCGGGACTGAACCGATCGGGAACTCGGACTTCGAAAGGGTATCCATCCTTGTCGAGGAGTATCTTGTCGCCTCCGCAATCTTCCCAGTACTCCTTGAGGTCCTTTCTTGCCGCCAAGACCATTGACTCGAACTTGCTGGGTGGCAAGTTCACGACGGGGGCACTAGGCGCGGGCGTGGGCGTGGGCGTGGGCGTTCCAGGGTTTGCTGCTCCCGGTTGGAGCGGAGAGAGCATGTTGGGTGCATTGGCAGGAACCGCTGGATTCTCGTGTCCGTCATTCTGGGGCTCGATGTCCTCCACCTGGGCGTCCTTCTTGGAAGACTCTGCTGCTCCGACTGCGGGAGAGGCCGCCGACACTTTCTTCTTGGGAATTCTGTGCTTGTTGTGCTCGTAGTAGATGGGGTGATTGGCCTTGAGGTAGTTGGAGTAGCCCACGTCAAGTTCCTCGATGAAATTCTGGGGCGGCGTGAGTCCCAGCGTGTGAATAGGCTTCTTCAATTGAATATCTGGACTAATTAGTTATCTGGAGCGGCAGACGGTTCGTGTAACTCACTGGTCTTCTTGTAGAACTCTCGCATAGCCCAGTACTTGATCGCGCTTGTGCCCATCCAGATCCAACCATTGCTCTGGAACCATGGGTACAGCTGGCGTACCATCTCCGGCCAGGCTGCTTTGAGGTTCATGCCCTCAAGCATGAAGTTCTGACCACCGGTGATCAGGATGAGCAGTTGGTTGCAAGCGTCCGTCTCGCTCTCGTCAGCCAAGTTCCGGTCACCAATGGATGGAATCCAGTCCACAGCGCGATTAGGGTTTGGGGCGCCGACTGCGCGGAACAGCGGCGCGGGGTTGTCGCCATTGTTGCCCGGAATGGACGCCATTTTTATCGTGAAAATCGATAAAAAAGCAGCCTTTTCGGTTTTGATGTGATGAGAGAAGAGTGGGAACGTGGGAGAGAGGAAAGGAAATGGGTGAATGTGAGATAGACGCGGTGCCCGTTTCGATATGGGCCCACAAATTTGGCGGTGTCTTTTGGATTCTCAAACCCTATGTGATGACTTGGTTGACACTCTACTGTTGGGGCGGTGACCTCTTAGACGCGCTTTAAATGAGTGAATAAACAGAATTCTCGTTGAATCGACGGGGCAGTTGACGACACTTGAGGTTGCTGTGGGTAGCAGTACCAGACAACGTCACGCCGGTTACATTCTTCACGAGCAAGGCAAATGTTGCATGAGATACTTTTCACAACGAGTCATCTTCACGCGGTTATGGTAGAATGTGTCAAGCGATTAGTTCATTGACCGAATGGAGCTACTCTGTGTCGCTCCTCCCTTGATGCCCCCGAATGATGTAGCTCAATCCTCCTCGCGCTTGGTGCTGGCGCCGGGCTTCTCGGAGACAACGGATCCCTTGGCGATGATGCCAGGCTTCTTGGTATTCTCGAGGGTGTTGATACCGACTGCCTCGATGTCCAGCTCCTCGACGACGGTGATCTTGAAACGCTTATTGGTTTTTTTTTTTTTTTTTGGAACCCTGGGCCTGCCAATTCTTGTGGAAATAATTCAATGCTTTCTTGCCGTTGTTCGCCTGGACGTAGATTTTCTTGTCGGCGTCGACCACGACTTCTTCATCTGAATCGAAGCGACCGACTATCTCTTGCAAGTCCTCAATGTCTACAAAGTACAAATTAGAACTGCTGTTATCTTGGATGCTTGAAATTGGCTTCGCCATCACATGACCGCACCAGATACTGAAGAAAGGTGGACTAAGAGCCGTGCAATGACCTTGGTTCTATTCGTCAGATTCAAGTTAACTGCGAGTCCATATCCAACCTGCCTTAGGCACCCATAGGCACCCTCGTTCGTTTGTCTGGGTCATTTCCACTGTTCGTGGTACGGACGGGATTTGCACGACATCAGAGCCGTTGGGCTCTCTGGTATGCTTGTGATGTTGGAGGGGAATAGAGGACTGTTGCTCTTCCCATTTCGGATTGCCATATAATAGCAGGATTCTTGGTACCAAATTTGAGTCTCTAGTTCCATAGAAACCCCTGGGCTGTTCTAGCAATGGATACGGTAACGATCCGGTGTCGTCGGATTTGTCTGTAAGTTCCGGTTCAGACCCCCGTTGAAGTCCGTGAGGCGCCGGATGTCTGTCCAGTCGGATTTGTTCCTGAGATGCCTCTTTCGGCATGTGGGGCGGTGCTAATCAATGCTCCCGTCCTCCAGCGGCAGGTTCTCCACTTCAGCGACAGGAGGAATTCTCTAGCGAAAGCGCGTATGCTTCCTCCAACTACGGTATGCCACGCATGGCTGGGTTGCCAACAACGATGTGACCACCATTGTTTGCTTCTAGGTGTTGTCAAGAAACCTCGTCGGGAGCATTTCGACAGCACATTCTTGCAGGAAATGGTCAAAGAGGACTGGGTCTCCCTCGGGTATCAAAGACCGTCTCGTCGGATACAGTCACCTCGGCAGGCTGCGTCTCGACGAACCACTGAGAATGATTTGGCTGTTTGCATACCGCGCGGTGTCGTCTGCTCGTCGACCTGCGAGATCCGTCTCGGCCATCCTGCAATTGAGGGGATGGCGTTGATGTGTCGTCTGCTCGTTGAACTGCTCGATTTCTACCCCGGCCGTCCTCGAACAATTAGGGAGTCAGCGTGGGTGATGCCGTCTCCGTAGACTTGCTACCATCCAGGTCTTAAGCCCAAGGTCTCTTTGGATTGCTGAGAAGTCGACGTTGCCGTAGTATCTGCGTCAGTCATCTTGACCTCCTCAAAGGACTGGAGAGTCAGCACTGGCGATGTGACGGAAAGGTTCCAGATGGCTGGCACAAACTCCCCCTTGAGACCACTGTGGCCATGGAGAGTATCATACCCGGGATTATGACTGGATGCCTTGACGCTCGCAACCTGACTCCTAGCCGCGATAGTAGCTCTGATGCTAACCTGCCATGATAACAGCGAATCGTAACCTCTCATCCTGAATGGTGATCCCAACCGCCAATCCTGACCTCTGATCATGTTTACTGAACCTTTCCGCTGGTCGTTGCGTCCGAACCTAACCTCCGAACCCGACCTCTGAGCCTAACCTCTGATCCTAACCAATTCCACATACCATACATCTAATCCTATCACTGACCCTAACCAGCATCATATGCCTCCATCTTCGTCTCAATCCATCTCAGCACATCTACCACGTAGCACTAGCCGTAGACCTTGTGCCGTGGGTGCTCAAACTCGCCAAACTCTGTGAATGAGCGCCAAAGTCATGCCCCTACGACAAGGAAAGCTTCCATCCAAACCTGTCAATAATCTCCTGCCAGTCTTGATCCGTGGACGTTGCGCCGCCACCGTCAAAGTCCCTTGTCTGCCAGATTGTCCAAACAACCCTCTTCACCGTCGAGATATTGCTGATAGGCCACTTGCTGTCCAGAAGGTTGAATAGATCAAGAACAGCCTTGCGGTGTGCGTCACTGGAACTGACACACCCCGCGATGAACAGCGGCCACATTGGAAACGATCGCCTCGGCTGGTCCTCGACAATCACCTCGCCAAGATGACCCAACAGCGTCTGCAACAAGTGCGGAATCGCCCGAGTCCGTACGGTAGCGCCGTACACAATCAGCTGGAGGTAAATCAGAGCAGCGAACCGAAAGCACTCGGCGCTTTTGACGAGGTAGTCGTCGTGCATGCTCTCGGCGGAAAAGTCCAACTCTCGAATGCGTCTCTCGAGACGTGATCCCTCTTCCGTGTACCCGCCGTCCTTCTGAGCACCTGCCGAGATCATGCTAATCAACTGAACTAGCTCCATCGAACAGCCGATTTGGGGGTCAATGGTCTGGAACGTCCCTTGGCCTGGCAAGAGCCGTTCGAGGCGTTGGATGGCTTCATCACAGTCGTCGGTCTGTCCATCATGATGCGGCGCTTTACATCCGGTCGTCTTCATCAAGACGTATCGAAATCGAAAATACTGGAGCGCGAGAGCGGCGCACTCAGGCGTGATCCAGTCGCCGTGGTTATCCATGATGGCCAGAGCACCCCGCAGATGCCTCAACCACGACGGCCGAGACCCCTCGGCTATCTCCAAGGAGGCCTGGAGCACACACGTCAGGAGGTTCTCCTCCGCCTCGAGAGCGGTGTTGAGCTTCGACTGCAGCTGCGTCAAGGCGTTGATTTTGTATCGGATGGCCGCCCCGGCATAGTCTACCCCGTCTTGCGGGGTCCTCCGAACCATTTCCGCCGCGCTCAGTGCCAGGACGGTAGAAAAGAGAGGGCCGCTGCTGCTCAGGAGTATGGGCATGACGCACGTCCGGAAGAGGTTCCTCTCGCTGGGGACATACACCCGGCTGTTGCTGATGACCTCAAAGTCTGTCTTGTCAGAGCGGCTGTCTGGCGTAGACCTCGACTACTTACAGTACTGAACCATCATGCTTTCTCGTCCGCCGGGGAGCGTGCTTGACTTTGGCAGCCAGCTCAGAGCCGGCATGAGCTGCTCTTGAGACGACGGCAACACCCCTCTGGGGCCGTCTGCGTACTGCTGACAAACGAGAGCCAGCTCGTCGCTTCGAAGGTTCACAAAGGAATCGCTCGCCGGCGACTCCAACGGCGTGATGAAGTGGCCAGATGCCACGGAGAGGAGAAACTTGGACGGCGAAGACTGGCTCGACTTGACGTACACACACACGACGCCGTGCCTGCGACAGCTGGCGCACTTTGGCTTCCCTTCATCGCACCTCCGCTTTCGTCGCCGACAGTCCAGACATCCGGTTCGGCTCCGGGTCCCGTTGCCGGCCATGTTTCTTGATTGGTGGGTCTACGACGTGGTCATGGCCTGGTGGGAGAGCCATGAGATCATGCTCGGACGACTGATTTGATGAGAGATGCAGGTTCCAACAAAGGTGTCCTCCGACTTGACGCCGAAGACCCCGGTCCGCATTATCGGGGTAGATAAGGGGGGCTCCGTGTTGAGATGCGGGGATAGTCACCGGGATTAGGTAAGCAGACAGACGGTGGTGCAGGGATGGGAGCTCGACTTCCCAAGGCCTTTGACTCTCGACGAAACGGCAGACGTCAGGTCTGTGGGTCAAGAGAGAGTCTGGGGAACACATCAAAGCAACTGCCATCCCAACCGTCTTGCGGCGAGTTTAGGACTCCGGGCCCGCTCGGCTGGGGTGCCTTGACTCGCTGGGTCGTATCCGTCGTATCTTCCAACTAACATGCTTTCCGAATCCGAGGCGACGGACTATCGGATGAGGGGCTGGAGTCTCTGAGAGGGCAACACCATGCCTTTACATCTCACGAGAAAACATGTCCCTAGAGAATTCCGAAGATGACCTCGCCCCTGAGCCTGACGTGCCGGTGCGTGCTCTGAGGCGATGCCGGAGATCACATCTGAGACTGCAGAACATGACTGACACCCGTGCAGGGCGACACGGATTCAACCATCGGGAGTGTACGCAAGTTTCCAAGCCTGGTGAGCCCTCTACTCACGGGATAACAGGACGATTTCTCTGCTACGACAAGCCTCCGAAGCTCTATCATAGACTACCGCGTCGAAAACGGCAGAACATATCATCGTTACAAAGAAGGCAGTTAGTCGCATATCCACGGCCTCCGACTCCCATACTAAATAAAAGCTTTCCAGAATACTTTGGACCAAATGACGAGCTGGAAACCGACCGGCTAGACCTGCAACACCACCTGTTCCTCCTCACATTCGACAACAGGCTGGGGTTCGCGCCTCCGAATGATCCCGAGTGGAAGGGCGGCCGCGTGCTCGACGTCGGGACGGGCACCGGCATCTGGTGCATCGACTTTGGCGACGAGCACCCCAACGCGGACGTCCTCGGTTTCGATCTGTCGGCCACGCAGCCAGAGTTGTGCGTTGCGAAGTCCGTTCTGGAGACACAGCTGACAATGGACCCCCAGCGTCCCACCCAACGTTCAGTTCGAAGTAGACGACCTCGACAACGAGTGGATCTACTCGAGGCACTTTGACTACATCCACATACGCGGCATGTCAGGAAGCGTGCGCAACTGGCCCGAACTCCTCAAAAAGTGCTACGAGTATGCCTTGTCTCGTCAACCCGCCGGCCAAACGCATCGATCACGTACTGACAGCACAGCAACCTCAACCCCGGCGGCTACATCGAGCTCCAAGAAGTAGAAGAGACAATAACCCGCGCAGATAGCTCGACATCCACGAGCGATGCCTTTTCCAGATCCCTCGCCTACGTCTCCTCGGCCCTAAAAGTCTTTGGGTGCCCCTTTATCCCTCTCGACGACCTCACGACGCTCATGACGGAGACAGGCTTCAGCGACGTCCAAGACCGCCGCTTCACCTGGCCCCTCAACAGCTGGCCGCGCAATCCGCACCTCAAGGAGCTCGGGTCGTGGACGCGCGAGAACCTCGCCTCCAACACAGCTGGCATGATCATGGCGCCCATGACGCGGGTGCACGGGTGGAGGGAGGAGGAGGTGCACGTCTTTGCCGCCGAGGTGCGGAGGGATCTCGCTGATCGTGGGAATCACGCGTACTGGCCACTGTGAGTTGACTGACTGCCGGTGATGACCACTTGCGAAGTTGAAGATGGTGGCAGCAAGACTGACATGCTATAGCCGCGCTATTTGGGCCCGAAAGCCCGAGACGTCCGAGTGACCCCCGCGAGCCGGTGCATCCGTTGCTTCGGACGTTGTCACACCGAGTCAACCCCCACGAACGCTGCAGACACATGCAAACACCACGTCTTTCAACTCGTGTTCTCATTCAAGCCATCATTACACGACTACATAGTTGAACAAATACCAGGCGCCGCATGAGGGTATCCAATCAAACCCCCCTACTCCAATGAGCCCCTCCGAAGCCTGAAAAAATCCATCCGGCCGAAAACGCCGTTTCATTAACACACGAAATCCTGAGCCTCCCTTTTTGTTTTGCTCTATCCCGACTCCATGTAGTGCAAAGTATGCTTCCAACCAGAAAATCCCATCGTGAATTTGCAAAGATGCTCCCAAAGGAGTCTATATGCGAACGTAAAATGCAAGAGCGCAAAACGTGAAATCATGCGCGTTAGGCGAGGGTGGCAATTTCAGCTGCACCGTCACCATCCTTCGTAGTCGTGTCCACACCGGCCGCCGCCCAGTTCATGGCGTCGTTCATGCCATCTTCCCCAAAAACATTGGCCATGAACCCGTCGTCTGTGTTGTTGACGCCCTCTGGCGGGAACTGGAGCCACTGATCAACATCAAACTCTGTGCCCGTCATGGCGTTCCAGTCAATTTCTTCTTGGGTCTGCAGAAACTCGAGGTCGAGTGGGCCGGGCTCCTCGGTGCTGCCGAAGCTGCCGTTGGCGCTCGGCGTCATTGCCTCAAGCGAAGACTCGTGGTCCTTCTCGGTCGGCGGGGGGCTCTGCGCAGACAAGTCAAGCGCTGCGGCGTTGATGGTCTGCGGCAGGAACTCGCGCTGGGGGTTCGGCTTGTTGGCGAAGAGGGCCTCGCCGGTCGTCATGTAGGGGATGTTATCGGGCGGGGGCGTCTGCGCGCCAAATGTCGGCTCGGCAAGCTTGAGGTTCTGCTGCGTCATGGGCGCGGTAGTCTGCTGAAGGTTAATGTCAATGGCGGCCTTGCGGAGGGCCGCATCGAGGAACCCGGTGGCGTAGTCGGCGGCGGCGTAGATCTCGCGCAGCTTCTCCATGACACGCATGCACTGGCGGAAGCCGCGGGTGGCGCGGTCTCTGGACTGCGAGACGGGGTTCTTCATTTCCAGAAGATGGATGATCATGGCCGGCAGGATGACGGTCACGCCGGTGGTGGGGAGACACCTCTCGAGGCGGAGCTGGTGGAGCTCGGCCGCCATCCGGGTGACGTGCATAGCGGCGTCGCGGACCCGGAGCCGGGACATCTCCTGCACCTGCCGGGAGGTTGTCGGTGCGTGAACTGGAGACGACGGCAGGAACTGCGGGCGATGCAGGGCCGAGATGGTGGTGTAGTAGACCATGTGCAGCAGGGTGCGCTGGACGGCAACAGTCGACCGCCCGTTCTTGACATCGAGGGGCGTCAGGGGCCTGTACTGGCAGATGGCGGGCAAGGTGTCGGCCCAGGCCATAAGCTCCAGGTCTACCGAAGTCACACTCTCGACATTGTCGAGCTTCTTATTCGGGAACAGCATCATGGTGCTGTTGACGGTGTTCTCCGGGCGCATCTTGTCGCGGATGAGGACGGAGTACTGGGCCTTGAGCATGTGGCTGATGCAGATACACAGCTGCGCCTTGGAGATGCACAGCGCGGCCAACTCCCGCTGCATCGAGACATCGCGGAGCAGCATGCACTCGGCGGGAATGATCTTGTTCTCCTCGGGCAGAATCTCCAGCTCAAAGTCGTTCTCCTGCAGCATCGGCACGTCAAAGTCCTCATCCTTGATGCGGGTGGGCCTGCGCATGCCCAGGGCGATGAGGCGGTCGCGCATGAAACAAGACCACCAGATGCGCTTCCACAGCTTCTGCTTACGAACCGGCATGCTCGTGGCGGCCGGGTCGCGGTGCAGGCCAATGGTGTGGGCCAGCGAAATGGCAACGCCCATCCAGTGCCATGTGTCCTTTTGGTCGTCGGGGGTCTCGTACCAGTACGTCATCAGAAGAAGGGCCTGGACGAGGACGAGGCGATCCGACTCGTAGTCAAAGTCGTAGAGCAGCTGCAGACGAACGTTTAGCATGTGAAAGGGTTGAGCGTGGGGGTGACCCCTGTCGCTAGCGCGGCGTCAAAGAAAGTTCAGGGACGGGCCACTTACCCTCGTCTTCTGGAAGAAGGCCTTCCTGGCGGCTTTCCGCGTCGGGTATCCCGCCTCGCGAAGGACCTTCATGTCGACAAAGGCGGTGGCGGAAAACATGACGGCCTGATACAAGAACAGGCTGACCTGACCGCACAGCCCATCCTGGGCGTTGATGATGGCCAGAAAGTCGTACAGCTCGAGCAGCGGCATGTACGGATGAACGTATTCGACGTAGGACTGGAGCAGAGCATTCTGCAACGGTAGCGCAGGCAGAGTCAGGGCACCCTTTGCGTGCAGGTAGGTAACATCCTCCTGGGCGATCTTGGCGGGTAGCGGTTTCACAAAGGCCGGGAGCTGGCCGTGGAGGTCGGGCTCCTCGAGGGAGGCGAGGAATTGACTCGTTCGCCCGTCGCCGGCGCCGCCTGCACCGCCCATGCCGCCAAAGAGAGAGGCCTGGGCGAGCAGGTTGGACAACAGGCGACGAGAGTTGCCATCTGCTGACGCTGCGGCCGCAGCAGACTGCAGCTTGGTGAGCAGCGCTGCGCTGTCATGACGGTAACCCGATCGTTGATCTAAGATTCACAAGGTCTCGTGGTCAGCGAGTCGTCCCAAAACATTGACCGCTTTGGTCTGGGGTGGGTTGGACGATGATAATGACTGCAGACCAAGGCTGGCATGTGAATGTGGATTACGTGTGAGAGGCTAAGGGACGTGGGAGGGACGGAGCTGGGGCCGCGGACGGAGTGCGGAACGGAGGGGGGGTACGCTGAAGAATCAGGAGAGACTTGACTGGACGAGGAAAGGCGGAGAAAGGCCCCAGGTCACGGGGTAGGAAAAGTCCAAGACGCCCCTCCACACTTTACCCCGTTCCGTCCCCTCCCCCAGTCTGAGCCCCCCCGGACAGGGCAGCGATGGGCAAAACCAGGAACAAAAAAGAAGACACAACAAACAGGGGACGCAATTTGGATGTGCGGTGCGGAATTGAAAGATCCCACGCTAGAAAATTGATTCCAAAAAAAAAAGGTGTTGCAGGGCCAAAAAAAGAATTGTGCGACAGAGACGAAGGCAAACTTACAGATCATGTGCGGAACGTGACCCTCGATTCCGTCTGAAGAGCCGCCGGGTACCGACAGGCCCCCGAGAACACCAGGGCCAATTCCAACGCCGATTCCGTTTCCTCCTGCAGCAGGAGCAACGCCGGCACCAATGCCAGACGTCGCATTCAGGGGCACGCCGGAGGATGCGGGAACGGGGTTCGCGGCGATGGAGCCGTTGACCGAGGCCACCGAGGCATTGCTAGGTCGGCGCAGTTCCGCGCTGCTGTGAATGTTGATTGGGTTTGCGCCCTTGGAGCGCAACTGTGCCTCGGCTCCCACACCATGGTGCCCCGCCGTGCTGGCAGTCAACAAGTTCTTCCTACAAACGCGCCAAGAAGTCAGCGGGGGTCAACTTTGCGGGATTGGGGGTTTCCCCATGGGCGTCATGTCGGCATCCCCAATCGTCCGCCTGCATCGTGCCGAGGCACCGGCGAGTTGCAAGATACCGGACTTCGGTCGCGGACGAAGATACGGAGACGTCAAACTCACTTTCGTCGGCGGCTCTCCTGGACAACGCACTCGACATTGTCCCATCTGCAGTTGCCGCAGGGCGCGCCTTCAACCACGTCGCAGCGGACCTTGCGCGCGCGACAGCTCACGCAGGCGCGGGCGGCTCTGCGCTTCGTAATCTTGGTCGGGGGCGCTCCATCCTTCAGGTCCGCGTCCGATGATGAGCGCTTCTTGCTCTGCTCCTGGTCCGAGGAGGTGTCGTTGGCGTCGTCGTTTTTCGGGTCCTCGGCAGCCTCGGCGGGCTCTTCCGTGGTCGCCATCGTCAGCGCCGATAGATCGGTGGCCGGCTCGGGAGCAGGCGTTGCCTCGGGGGCGGTGGTAGTAGTGGTGGTGGTTTCGGTCGCCATTGTCACGGCACTCAAGCAGTCTCCCCTATTTAGAGACTGCTCGTTTAAGAGGCCGTTTGCTTACAAGTGAAGTAGAAAGGTATCGTCAGTCTCGGGTGATGGCCGAGAGTATAGATCAAGAATCGTCTGTGATGTCCGGAGACTCAATACGTATGGAAACGGCTTGCAGATGTAAGGGGCTCGCATATACGGGCGGCGGATGAGCTTTGCGTACACGTCGTCAAAGCTGGGGCGGTAGATCCTCGTGTTGAGGCGGGACACAAACGTAAATAACAGAACAAGGCGGAACGAGGTTGCGTTGAGATGAGCATTGAATGTTTCCAAGCCTGATACTAAATGTTGCTGCTGCTATGGGTGCGGACAACCCTTGGGTTAGAGACCTTGTGTGTGGTGTGTCTGGGGCGTGTGTCTCGTGATTTGGTGGTCGATGCTGTGTTGGGCAAGGTCTGGAATTGGAGATGCAAAGGACGAGGCAACATCAAGCTCGAATTGTTTAGAAAAGCCGGAGCTACGGGCAAATGCTCGAGGTGGGAAAAGGGCAGCAAAGGAGAAGCGGGAATGTGGGGTCCAAGGGTGCGAAGGGGATGGGCGGAGGTATTATATTATTCCAATGGGATCAATCTTTTTGCAACAGACAGCCTGGAAAGAGAGAAACTGGGAACGGACTCTCTTTCTTTCGTCTGGAATTCCCACGAGGTATCCTTTGCTGTGTGTACCCCCCCCCCCCCCGGCCTATGGAGTCAAGGACTGAGGTACACCCCCTGGCGGCCCCCTCCTCTTTCTGGCTCCTTTCACTCTGCGATCCATTGACGAGACTAGGCCGGGCGAAGAAACGAGGGAGGCGGAACACCCCTGCTCCTCCCCAGCTGCCCAGCTGCACCATTCTACACCTGGCAAGGTCAGGAAAAAGGCAGAGGGTAATAATTAAAGCAGGACCACTTCGACCACAGAACGACGTGGATCTCTGCGTACCCCGAATTATGGGGAAACGAAGCTAGCATTAGCAAGAACAAGTGCAAAGCAGCAAAATATGGAGAAGTGGACAAGAGTTAGTCAGGCTTGAGACAAGGATGCTGGATGAGACGGAGCGCCAGAATTTGAAGTTCCCTGAGGTGCTGCGGTACCTTCCTTACAACCTACAGTACATATGTACCACAGTAGAGAGAGTACGTATCGGGGAGATTGTACGTACTCCACACGAAATACCTCACCTTCCCTCACCTCGAGGTCTCCCGTCCTCACGTCTTCACGATGCCACGCCACGATGCACTTTCCCACCGAGATTGTCTGCTTGCATTCCCTCCCATCCCACGCCATGACCTCGACGCCCTCGAGCTGTCAAATCTGTCTTGTCCGATGACCCGTGACCTGCATTGAGCGCAGTGACACAGAGACCACGGGACGTTGTTGCGTTTCCCAGGCCTGCCGTTGGACCTTGACCGGGATTGGCCAAGAGAGGGAAGCGTGGAACCAAGCCGCACTGCGCAATCGCTGCGCAATGTCAGGGCGCTCTTACATCGTTCTGCATCGATGTGTTCCATTGGTGACGGCTACTGACTGCTTACCTCACGGTGCCACGGCCTGCAGAGTCGAGACTACAGACTGACAGACGCCATGAGATTCTTCATCCAGCGCCTCCCCGTCCGCCACGGCGAAGCTCGCGTGTGCTTCTCCTGGTGGTGGTGGTGTTCCATCCCATATATCCTTTGTGCCACCTTCCATCCATCCGGTCGAGCCAACCATTGCGCCGAACATGGCAAACGAAATCTCACAACCTCCAACTCTATCACTTCCTGACCTCATCTTTGACACCTTCCAGCGCATCAGCAGACAACCTACAACCAAACAGCCGCCGCGCCCGCTGGCTTGCTTCGGCATCATCGCATGTGAAGCCAACTGCAGATGTCGTAATCGCAACTCCCACCATCCCTGCCTCCTTCCAGCCAAGCTTGCATCTTTGGCCGTTTGGGACGCAGTACGGAGCAGCTGCGAATCTCTGGGGGCTCGGGAGGGGGTTGAACATGAGGGGCGCCGCGGCTTCCATAGTGGGGTGCCTGCCTCTCTCACCGGGCAGGTTATCACAGATCGTCGAGGCAAGTCATCTCGAGCACAGAGTCCATACAGCCAAGGACCAAACTCTACTGCGCCCGTCAACTATCAAATCGTGACAACACCCGCCGGCCTGCATTCGAGATTGCTGTCGACTTGCAGTTTGCGGCCTCGTACATGAGGCAATACCTGATTTTCCCGCCCGTATGCAACTGGCGCACCCCGGCCGATCCTGCCCCGATCCCCTCTGCCCTAAGGTAAGCTACGTACTTTGTAGGAAACCCTCTCTTTCCCGTGAATCCACCCGCACTTGCTCTAAACAAATGACTGCTGTTGCTTCCTTCCTTCCTGGGCCCAGACACGATGGGCAGGCACTATGGGAAGGCGGCCTCTTGGTTCGTTACCACTTTCCTTCAGAGTCCAGTGTCTCCAGTGCTCCTACCATTTCGTGTTATCAACAATGGACCCATGCCTGCCATATCTGCTGCGTAGTGTGATGTGTCTCAGCAGCTGCAACACGTCCACCTTGCCGCATCGACGCTAGCTCTCCCATGTCGCCATGCTACGTACCGCCATGCCACAGCCTAGAACTTGACCTTCTCCAGAAAGCTCACCCGGCCCCAAAAACAACAAACAGACCAGCTGGCCGATCTCCTTCACCGCAAAACACCTGTTGTCGCTAGAGACTCGCTAGCCTTCTATCCTCCGTACTAGGTAGGGAGTCCAGAGTCCACAGTCCACAGTTCACCTCCCGCGGCCCCGTATCCGACTGACCTTCTCCGCCAGATCCATTTCTCCCCAATCCCGTATGTGTCAAGACGAGGCCCGGACGACAGCAGGAAATAGGCAAAGCCTTGGCTTGAGGAGGCTTGGGTTCTTGGGGACCTTGGTACTCCAGCCCCAGTCCCAGTCCCCGTCGCCAGAGTTCCTGGAATCCAAGGGACGAATCGTCATCCAGGGATCATGACCTCTTCCTCCACGGCCTCCACCCGAATGCAGCAACCCAGGCCCTTGACCCCATCTCTCGTCACTCACACCTTGTGGAGAACGGCCAGCCGCCAATCACCAACCTGCAGCCGTGCCGTTGGCTGCCCCAGGGCTGGAACAAGTACTCCTTGAGGCGCCGCCCTCAGTACGGATACCTGCCTCCAGGTACCTCGTCCACCGGGTCACTATTTACCAGAGTCCAACATCACTAACCAGCGCCAGCCTCGCGAGTCAGGTCCAATCGAGTCAGCTCCGGTGTGGGCTCCAAGGATCACGCCCAGACACAGGCACCACAGCCAGTCCACCTCCGCTCACCGCAGCATCCAACCACAGACGCCTACATAATCCTTAGCCTATCGTAACCCTCATTCCCCCAGTGGCCCCCTCCAACTTTAAAGCATCACGAGCCGCTCTGCAATTTTTCACACCTCATCTCAAACTGCACCCGTGCCATTGGGTCAATTGCGCCTACCCTTAGTCACCACTCGTCACTCGTCGCTCACCACCAACGGACCGTGGCCGATGCGGCATTCTGGGCAGGTGTCCCAAGGCAGTCAAGCGCAGCCAGCCTCAAGCGATGGCCGGCGTGTCTGGCGTTTTTGTGACTATCTGAGGACACCACTCCAGCCTCGGGTTCTGTCATAATTCTGCACAACGCAGCATCATGACACCCGCCACTGTCAGTACGCAGTAAATTGCGAGCAGAAGGTGGCCCGCAGAAGGGGCCCAAGAAGCCGTGCAAGTCGGCTTCTTCACCAAGTCGGCTTCTCAAAGGCCACACCCTCGCTCTCGCTTGCCCCAATCCATCAGGGTTTCGTCGTCTCGTTGGATCGACACACGATACACGCCCTTTAGTCCGAAAGAACAAGATGCACAATTCCCGATTCAATCGCTCCCGTAATCAAAATCGATGCCCTTGCACCGGCGGGCGCCCAATCACGTCCCATTCCACACCTGGAAATATCTCCATTCGCCCAGCTGGATTCGGCAACAGTCGGGACTGGGGCGTGGTTACCCCTGTCCAGTACTTCCCACATACACAGGTCATCCACTCTTGGAGTCTTGACACAACAGACGCGATCACGATCCGTTTCCACGTCCCGACTGCGAGCAATGAACGGTTTGGATGAATGGGAAACACTGGTGGAATATTCACCCAAGTGCAGTCCTGAACCCCGGTGGGCGCAATGTTTCGGTCAACGTTCCACCCCTGCGTCCTGTCCGCCCAAAACCTTCTCCCGGCCGAAGGTCCCTGGCGCCGACTCGACGGCACCGCGTACATGCATGCCGACGTCTGTACGTACTGTACCACCGTGCAATTCCCGTCCCTACATCCCGGCCACCATCTCAAAAAAAAAAAAAAAAAAAAAAGCCTGTCCTGACTCCGTCCAAACCTTGACGGCAAGTAAAAATGGCCAGCAGATGTGACGCATCAAGATTAAGCCAAAAAGCCAACGAGTCCAATGAGCGTTTTGCAGAAGATCTGCAGCGCCGTCTCGTCTCGTTCAGTTGCTGTGTCTGGTACAGCCATCTTGTCCACCGTCGCAGGTCCTAATATCCATTGTCAGCTAGACCCAGGAGCCCCAGTAAATCCACCTGACGAAACACGCACTCCCTTTGCTCCGATGCCACTTGCCGGGCGTGCGTGCCTCTTGGTACGGAGTATGACGAGTGCCGTATCCAATGGTTCAGACTGCCTCCGTACCAGCCGGCCAGACCATCCTGGACGTCGACCCAAAATTAGGGGCGTTTCTGAGCCTCACTCACCGCACTTGTATCGGAACCGCATGGCTACTTGGTCATCCATGACTTTACGATAATGCAACGGCAATCAACGGTCGCGAGAGTTTCGCCAGATACCGTGCCTCCCATCGACACGGCACGCAGCCGGATCGGCAGCCTTCCCACGGAGCATTCGCAGGCACTGCCATCACAACAAGACATTCGGCACAAAATCTGGCATCCGTTGACAAGTCCCGGGGCAAGCCGCACAGGACACGAGGAGCAAGACAGTTCCCCCACACATGTGGAGGAAAACCGTGGGAAAGCAAAGCCGTCCAATCAGCGATGACGCCGGTAAATTGCCCCACCTTGTTGCAAAGCCTCCACCCGGCCGGCGAAGGGTGGGGTCGCCGACCTGCTCCGATCCTGATGTCCGAATTCACCCTTGCTTGCAGCCCACCAAGCCGCAAGCTCATCCACACCATCGCTTGTCAAATCTCCAGCGACTTTCTCTTTCCGTCCTGACGTGTGCTCCACAACTCACCGGCATGGACCACGGCTCCTCTTTTTGCACATCAAGGCAAATCAGGGAAAAGAAGCAAAGAGGGGCAAGACGGGGCTGGATGACAAGTCAGATACTGCGTAGATAACGGGTGTGTTTCCGTTCGGAACACTGCTGCGTCTCCGCTTGCTGCTTACAATGCCACAATGCCTGCATCACGAATGGTTGTGGACGCACTTTTGAATGCGGGCGGATCAAGAATACAGCGGACAGTCAGAGTGGACACTCGACGCGAACGCGCGCAAGGCAAGGCAGGGGAACAAAACGGGATTAGTCCGCGCGGACGGTATCCGTTCGGAAACCTGCTTGGGTTGGTGGCCTCTTTTTACTCTTCTGACTGCGCTTCCGCTTCCGCTGCCGCTTGCCTTGCTTTTTCCCATGGGGAAAACGCGGGCCCTCCAACTCCACGATCTGATGAGCTTGGCTTTCCGTCGTTCGATACACTAGTTTCGACTCTCACTCGGACTTGTGTATTAGTGATCCATTTTTCTGCGCATTCATCATTCGTAGTTCCGCCTCTTGCTTGGGCGATTGATTGTTTGACGGCGGCATGAAACATATTCCGCCTTCCACCGCTTTGCCCACTCGCGCACTTTCTACACCGGGTGGGTTAATTAGCAGATGTGATCAACTGTACAATGCATTGCCGATTATCGTGATATATCTGTCGTGATAACTGCACGAGCTACGTCTATCCCATGCCAAAACACCCCATACGCAATCTAGTCAAATGCTTCACCCAACACGTAGACCCCCCTCCGTCTCCGCGTATCATCCACACTACACTATAGCGACTGCTGCAGCACATCACTTGCCCTCCTTGCCAACATTCCCAACAGCCGGCGCCGCCTCGTTAGCCTTGTCCAACCTCGCGAGCGACTTGGCGTCCAGCCCGGCATACCACCGCCTAAGCAGAGCCGCATACCCCGTCTCCCCCTCAGACAGCTCCACAGGCGGACCCCGAATCTGCGGCAAATCATCGCCAGCGTCCGCATCAGCACTGCTACCGCCGTCCCCTCCTCCCTGACCTTCTCCCCCATGTCCGTGCCGTCTCGTCTCGAAAACAGCCCAGCTAGACCCGTCATTCGCCCTCAACCCGAACCCGCTCCTCGTAAGCACCATGACGCTAAAGTTCCGCAACAGCACCGCGTCGCCCTGGCGAATCACGGGCAGCGCGGCCTTGTGCGGCCTGAAAATCTGCACGGCGACCGTCTGCGCGGGCGCGATGGAGTGGTCCGTGACGTTGAACGCCAGCATGATGCCGCGGGGCCCGCCCTTTGCGCGCTTCGCTTCGGGCGGGTTCGTGGTGGCGACGGCGAGCACGTCGACCGTGCGGCCCGGGTGGCTTCGGAGGACCTTGAGGGAGATGCAGTCCGGCACGTCGGCGCGGAGGGATCTGGTGAGCTGGGCTTTGAGGGCTGCGGAGGATTGTTCTGTTGGTTGTGATGTTGATGATGCAGCAGCCACTTTTGAGGTTTCCTTGTCCTTGGCCTTTGATTCTTTAGTCTTGGCTTCTTTGGAGACAGTTTCCTTGGCCCCCTTGGTGACATTCTCCTTGGCGGTCTTGGGAGCTCGCGATGGTGACTTGATCGCGGCCCTAGCGGGCTGCACGCCCGTATCCTCCTCCGCGTCCGCATCAGGTGAATCGCTCTTGAGCGCCAGACTCGCCGACCTGCCTCGGCTCGTCGTCGTCGCTGCCGCCGCCATCCCTCGAATGGGAGCGGCAGCGGCGCTGCTGTGAATATCAGGCGTCGTGCGATCTGATAGGCGCGTCGACCGTCGAGAAGCAATCGACGCACGGGCCAGCTTGACGCTGGGATCCTGATCCTTGCTGTTGGTTCTGCGGTGGCCGCGACCACCTCGCTTCGGAGTTGGCTGCTGCTGCGCGGCGGAAACGACTTCCTCCGATGGGTCCTCGGCGATAAGAGACGATTGCGCTTCCGACGGTTGCGCCGACGAGTCTCGGATTTGTGATGACTCTTCGTTGATAGGTGAGGACGCATCTGCATCAGCTTCGTGGGGAATGACCGCTTCCTTCTCCATCTCCACCTCCTCCTCATCGTCTAGCAGCGGTTCGTGGGGTTGGACTGGGGCCACTGCGGGGGACTCGGCGGGGCGTTTGTCGTCGAGATGCTCCGCCAATTGCTCCGCCTGTTGTTCACCATCGTCGGGCACAGTCACCTCGGTGGTCTGCGTCTCGACGAACGACTGTGAGAAGGATTCGACGGTTTGTGTGGCGCGCGGTGTCAACTGCTCGTCAACTTGTGAGGTTTCTGTTTCGACCATCTTCTCCTCAAACGATTGAGGCGTTGGCGTCGGTGATGCCATCTGTGTAGACTTGGCGTCATCCAGCTCGTCCACGTCCATTGCGTCTTCAACTTGCGCCTGCTGTGCGTCCGTCGTCTCCAGGGGCTCCGTGATGGTCGTCTCAACAGTCACCCGTGACATCTCGATAACCTCAGTCTCGGGGTGAGTGTCGTCGGCGGCATCACCTCCCTGAGAGACTGGGCGTTCCTCGACCATCTGCGTCGTGGTGATGGAAGTCGTAACCGTTTGGTCTTCCTCGTACATCATTGACTCCTCGTACAGCTGGCTCTGGATGAGTAGGTCCTGGGTGGCATCGTCGAGCTCCATATCGGAGTCTGCGGCATTGCTGCTCACTTCTTCGTCGACCGACATGTCGTCTAGGTCGCCCATGTCAACGTCCGCTGGCTCCAGAGAGCCTTCGTCGTCAGATTTCATGTGCACCTCGACTGTAGCTTCTTCGACGTCCTGGACTGTAGTCTCATCAGGAATCAGTGAGACTTCCATGTCTTCATCGTCAGATTGAGGCTGCGTCTCTTCCACT